GTATTATTTTTTTAATGATCTGATACAAAAAGTACCACCGTAGGGCGTGGGATGGGTCGCGAAATCCGAACGCGCCGCGGGAGGTTTACACGTGCGATGTAAATAATTGAGTTGCTGCTTTATCATTCATCGTCATATCAACGACACCAACTAGCAAACCATAAAACAAATGATAAATATGTCATGAAATATTTATTATTAGTCGAATTCTTCGTGAAGTCTGCAACGCGCATCTGGGTACGGTGATGAACTACGGTCTAAACTTTCTCGTTAGGACGAGACTATCTCGATTTAGTAGCAGTAGAGCTCCTTGTGAAAGAGTTTGTCCGGGGAAGTACTGCCTTACTTATTTACCTTACCTATTTCTGCCGTCAAGCAGTAATGTCGGCAGGAGGGTAAGGGTGCTGGTGAAATTACAGACACATGGGACCTGTCGCAGTGACAGTGCCCCCAGATCTTTGCAATTTAAAGCTCTGAGTGGCACTGCAGCTGTTATGAACAGACGTGTAGTTTACCATCAGGCACACGATTTGTTCGTCGCGTCGCTTGATATTATAAAAAAGGACCCGTGTAAGACAACAGACACGTGTCCAGTCCTTTGTGTTTGTTGGATCTTTGCATGAATAATAATAACAAACTAGTGTAGTATTTTCACAAAGAAATATATATGTCGGAATAAGACGTAAAAAGAGAGACGTTGAGAGAAACTCCCTCGTCACTAGTAGTGTTAGGAATTATTTAACAACTAGTCTATAATTAATACGGAAGATAAAGATTGGTGGAGTAATTTCACTTAAAAATAATTGAATATCAATTTAATAAAAATTTAAATACAGTGAATAGCGACATCTCTAGCCAGTACAGGTAACTGTAAAAGTATCTAACTGTGTGACGAAATACTTTCATAGATTTCTCATAGATGGCGCTACGGATAAAAAGTCGTTGAAAACCCAAATACAAAGACACGACAACAAGCACATAGAAAAATTCGTGAGGTCCGCTGGTTCGTTCTGTGGCTTAGTTGGTACGTTCGTAGCGTCTGACACGGTCAGCTAGAAGACGTCGGTTCGAATCCGGCCGGATCGAATGGTCTATACGTTTTTCATTACAAACTAGTTAAGCCACGCGATGAATAATAACGTCAAACAACTTCCCCGCCGAAAGACTGATACTTACTACTCTATTCGGTGTTACCTGCTCTAAATAATAACTACAGTCATTGATTTAGCGAATAAACTAAGTACTCGTTATCTCGATAATCAGTAATCAACGCGCCGTTATATATAATTGTAGTGGTAATGAAAAACGTTATCAATATTCAATAAAATAAATATCGCATATCATAAATTCACAGCGTATATCTTATTAGATATTTATCATTGGTAATCAGTTGGACAGGTTTCATAATAATTATTTCGTGTAACAAGACTAGCAGGGCAAACTATTCGGGAGCCCTATGATCAGCATCGGCTGTCGTTTGGTTGATGTTAGCGATAAGATAGTTAGGTAATCTATTTAAGTAGAAGAACTTGCTGGTGCTAAGTAAAAACCTACAACATAACGTACAATATGTACAGGTATTATATTTCAACTGCCTCTGTCGCCGAAGGGTTACCCTTGTCTGCACCGAAGAGGTCCGGGTTCGATCCCGGGTCAGCAGAAATATTTGGTTTTTTTTATAATATCAAGTGATGGGACGAACAAGTCGTGCGCCTGATGGTAAGCTAGGTAAGCTACATGCCTGTTCATAACAGTTGCAATTTCACTCAGTTTTCACGCCACTGAGACATAAGTTGACAAGCCCCATGTGTCTGTAAGTTCACCAGCACCCTTACTACACTTCAAAACCGGAACACAGTGCTGACATTACTGCTTGGCGACAGAAATAGGTTTTT